ATTAATTTATTTTATAATTATTCTATTGGGTTTTTCATAAAGATTTCATTAATTAATCATAAACCCTGGGCTCTGATACCACTTTTGTCACAACCCAGCCAGAAGCTTAGAAATAACCAAAACAGGAACAAATGGTCAAATGGTGAGAGCTATTTTTTCTAAATTTATTAACTATTTAATATATGAAAAAGTCACAAATAAAATTAAATTAAAACAAAAAAACTATATTTACTTCACTATTGGTTGTTCATTGCTTCTATAAATATTTTTTCATCTATCATTCATCTTTTAATCACGCAATTAACCTAAATAGTAAATCTAAAATAATAATAAGCTAAACAAGCTATTGAATATTCATACTCTTAAATTACAGTAATATAGAGAAAAAGAAAGCAAAATGTAAGTCAGTTAAATTTTTTTAATAAATTAATATAAATATTTGATGATATTCAAAGTCTCTTACTATATCAATAGTATACCAATATCATCTCATTTTTATACAACTTTCACAGGAGCACGTCTAAAATTGTACCACTTACGGTACATCAATGTCAATATCCTTTTTTTCATATATGTGCACGTGTACGTTAATATTGTCCACTAGTACCATCAATGGATGACTTCATTATAGTTAGTCATGCACATATAAGTATTCTATCAAAATCATTACTCACTAAAAATATATTTCATTCTCATTTGTGTACCAAATAATATACTTATAAATTATTTAAATAATGATGTGCACATGTATCATTCCTACAATATGAACAAAAGTTCACTAGAATTTAAAATCCAGATTTTGCAAGAATTATAATATAACTAATGAAAGTACTAATTAATGCATTTGGTCTAGAAGTAAAATATCGCTATAATAGAACACGAGCACTCACATCGATGATAAACAATCTACTTGTTTAGCTATATTACTTCTATCAAATTATCACTATAAAATATAAAATATTCAATTATCATTTTACTTAATTGTGATTTAATTTAATTACAAATTATCGTGTATCGCCCTATTTTAATTAAGATTTCAATACTTTAAACTTTGAAGTTTAATTATTGTAATCAAAATTAATATAATATTAATTTATACAAAAATACCTTTAGAATTAAGACCCTAATGTTTCGTTAGTGCTTAAGTTTAATAATAAATAATAAACTTACAAAAAACAAAACCTATGTTTCTCGGTTGGGAGAGACGCTACTTCACAGATCATGCTGGAATGTTTATTTTGGAAGTCTCTTTTGCGGACTGGCATTAGTTACTAGATCGAGTCCTGCTTTTACTTCCTGAACTCTTTTATATACATACATACATACATACATACATACATACATACATACATATATGAAAAGACCGAGGGCCAATATATTAAAAAATAAAGGTACATATCGGATGTATGAGAGGGCCCAAAATGGCACACTACTTACACAGTATACAACACACACAAAGTTTCAAAAAAGAAAATACATGTATAACCAAAAAACCAAAACTGCCAGATTGCAGAATCAAATTGCTAGGGAACGACCCACTTTAGTCCTACCTCTACCTCTAGTTCTAGGAAGGGAACCAACAAAAAAATTGTTGAGTTTTGTGTCATTACCCGAAGTAACCAATGTATCATCCATTAAATTCTTGAACTCGAGTAGGTCATTCTTCTTCCTCCTGAATGTAAAAACCTGTCATTCCTCATCTGAAGATTGACTCATATAATTAGTGTGTTGGTTGACAGATTGCTGGGCATGTATAATCTGACGAGCCCCTTGCGCCTGACTAACAATAACAACTTGTTCGGTCTAATAAGATTGTCACCCATTGTAGCAATAGTAGGGTTTAGGATAAGTGAAGTATGAATTGTCTCCTCTGCACCTGAGGCTTCTTGAAGATGAGAAGCTTCAAAGTTCTCCTGATTATCTGACCGGACATTATCCTTTGTAGGTAAAGTTCGTTCAGTATAGTTTTCATAACGGTTTGAAGCTGTAGGTTGCCCAGCTGAACCATTGGGCAATACGTCAATCGCAGAAACATACAGTAATGTCAGGGGGGGTCTCCAGTAGTGGAAAGAAGAGCTGATGGCGTTTTAACCAATGTTTCAATAGTCAGTGGATTGCCCTCAAATTTGGAGGGACAGGTGTGAGCTGCCGCAGAGGGCCCAGTTACATCTTTACTCTAACGTTTTAAATGAGGGTGCAAATGATGACATTGAGAGTGAGAGTGTCCAAACTACGGAAGACGGTTATATTTATAAAAAGCTTGGATAGAATAATTAATTTAAAAAACTTATAAACTTCCTTGTATATTTGCCCTACCTGACTCATGCACGACCCCCCACCCCCTTCACGCGATGCTCACACGCACTTCTTCTCCTCTGAAATGATGTCTCTCCTCTTCTTTTTCACGGCTTCGGTCATGTGGCTCTACCCATAGCAGAATAAATCGACACCACTTCCACGATCAACATTCTCCTTCGCACCAGTTGCGCCCTAAAGCACACAGACCTTCCCTTCGGTTACGGCTTCCTCTGCACACGAAGATGGTATGACTCCCTCTCTGTGTGAGAAATCCTTCGATCAAACTTCAAACGCACTGGCTTCAGCTCCCTCTCCCTTGAACGCACAATAAAATCGTCGCCTCTTCCTCCTCTGTGCGATAGAGACGTCGCTTTATGCTCGAAGACTTCCCTTTCCGCACCAAAATGCGGCTCGTCCTACTCTGCTCAACACAGACGCCGAGACCTCCTCTCTACACCAAAACACCGAGACCTCTTTGCCCTGGCCACACTCATCGAAGTCACGCCATCCTGAGATCCTCCGCTTCCCTCGTCGCTGCTATTCGACTCTCAGGTAAGTTTTTTGCAATGTTTTGGCTTCCTCCCTACACTTCGTTTCAACTTCCCAACTGCTCGTTTTCTCTCTCTTCTGTTCAACTCTTCAATTCTTCTCAGCTCTCTTTGTTTCCTCTCTCTGTGTGACTGAAATGGGGCATTACAATCCCACTCTTACGTAAAAAAAGATTTAACTAGGTATCTCCAAAACTATAAGTATGTTCATATTGGCCTAATCCAAATAGCTTTTAAGCCCTTGACATTTAGACGACTAAATGCTTCTGTATTAACCTATCTTAGAGATATTAGATGTCTTCATTGAGCACAATCCTTTATGAGAGTTATGAAAAATACTCTATGCCATGAACCTATCTATTTTAATATGTTTCCTCATTAAAATTTATCGTTAATAGATATAAATCTCTTTTAAGTAGCCAACTTGCAACTTCAATTTCATATATATGATTTCTTAGCGGGATCCGATACCATTGCCTTAGTTTATAGAATTTATTTTAAAATCATAAATATTTTATGTCCAAATATCAAAAAGATTGTTAAACAAGCAAGCCTAACAACTTTAAATGAAATCAATCTCATTCTTTTAAATGTAGCAATCAATAAGTAATTGAAAGGAATTACATTTAGTTTCCTGACTTATTAATTATACCCTAAGCAATTGTCCCAAAACCAATTGTCAATTAAGAAAATGTCAAATAATCCAACCAGCTGATGGGAAGAGAAGATTAATTATTCTTCCTAGAAGACCTTCAATTGATGAAATTGTCATCGAACCTATTACAAATATTCATCTAAATTCTATTCAAATTCTACATTTCGTGAAAAACATGCAATCTCCCAATCTGTCTAAAATGAACTTTAGTTTTTATGAATTACGAATCAGAAAATAAAAGTGGAGCCACAATTATCCGTGACTATCTTTCTTCCAGATAGACCAAATTCCGAAAATGGAATAGAAAAATCAATAGGGAAGAAGAAAGAACCTAACTTTCGAAGCTTTATTTTGAAGAAATCACTAATATATATATATATATATACTAAAATAGTGAAGCTTTTCATAATCTATAGAAAATACAAACTAATAAAAATGGAACAATCGATCCCATTTATCCTCCTTTAATACCTAATATGGTGATTAAAGATGAAATAAAAGAAAATCTAGACATGTCCGCTTTTAGAGATTTTTTTCAGACAAAAGATTGATAATATATAAGACATAAAATAAGACACAACTAATGTATCTAAAAAAATTGTATTTTTCGTAATTAATCCCAACTAGGAATATAAATATTGATACTCTTTAATTTATGCATGTTAATGGACGATGGATAAAGAATTTCAAAACTTTAGAATGTATCGAGATTAGTAAAAATAGTTCTGCTAAATTCATAATATCAAGCACAATTCTTAAAGACAGCAACAGAAACCTCAAGGTTCAATATGGATCTCTAATTGCACAACTTTTGATGCTAGAAGCCTCCATAGATTTATAGATTATCTAGCAGTACAATGGTTTGACAAAGAACTTAGGGGTGATAAAGCATGATTTTCCACCATTTTTTGGCTCAGTGGACCAAAATACCCCCAATCCAATGGCATTTTGATCTAGCACAAAGCATAAAGTTTTTAAGACACCAAAATACCTTTTCTCTGAGCACTATAATACCTCCAGGGGATAAAGACGCACTTTTATTGGCTATAATTGCTGTTACAACATAACTTAGGGTGCGTTTGGGGCAGCTTCTGCTTATTCAGATAAGCAGCTTATCCTGAAACGTGGTCTACGGGTGGTTCGCGGGGTTCGACCCGCTGCCTGCGTGTAGTGTAAAAATCCAATCGTGTTTTCGGATAAATTGCCGAAACGTGTTTTTCAAACGGTGAGACGTCGTTTTGAAAACGCCTCCGGCAGTTATAAGCTGCCCCAAACGAAATCTTAAACTAGTTATTTCGGCTGCTATTATAATCATGATATATCTTAACTTTATTACAATTATTTCATTTTACCTTTTCATCAAGAGATTCAGAAATAAAAATCAATAGTACTAATATAAAAAATAATCTACATTCCCATTTAAATGAATTTCAGCAAGAGAGTTAAATAGCATGTAGATGAAAATGTAAAGTACTGATAATTGTGCAGAATATATATACCTATGCAGCAAATGAGGTAATTCTAACTCAACGAGCGTTTCTCGAACAATTTTACAAAATGGAGAAGGCTGCAAAGAGCAAAATATAATATGTTTAAAAAAAAGAAAAATTTAGCTGAAGAAAAGGATTATGTGCATGCTAGTTTTGCAGAAATACCTCATATGCCCATAATTCAAGCGGCATTGGTGGGAGTCTAGAGGGACTGTATGATGATCCCTGTGAATCCATTAAGAATTGAGGACATGACATTCGAAAAATTCATAAAAAAAGATAAAGGAGAATAGATTTTCTTGCCTTCCCCATTCGACCAATCATCGCAAATCCTTCAGTTAATGTCTGAAAGAAAAAACAAAAACAAAGGAAGATTTACATAAATAACACTCAATTTCTATACATTTACATATCTAACACCAAAACTTCAATTATTAATTACATACCAACTTATCTAGGCATTAAAATAAATTTTTCACTTTTTAAAATTTAAAATAGTGGTATTTTTATGTTATTTGAAAGATTTGAGTGTTACAAATGTAAAAAAGTAAATTTTACTTGTTTGATATGTAAATGCAGAAGATTTGAGTGGAATGCATGTAAATGCCCCAACAAAAAATCCCATATCATGAGGACTCTAAAAAATTTCTTTATAATAAAAAGAAAAGCTTAAGACGTTAAAAAAAAGCTTTAACTGATAAAATGTTGTTCAATAAGATCTTACAGTAATAATGCCAAGTGACAACATCAGAGGAACGGTCCCATCACCTGGGCAAACGAAATATTTAAGACGGGAAGGACAAATCTAAAGCACAATCCTTAAGAAAAATGTCTCATTCCCATTGAAAAGAAAATACTAGTAAATAAAGCACCACAGAGCAAAATTAGAAAATATAAATAGATTCTTTTTTTCTTTTTTTTTTCTTTTTTTTTGCTTGCTTGCATTTAACACCCATTTCAAATTTGGAGAGGAAAATAGCAGAGGTGGTACAAATCATCCCCCAGAAGTCCAACCACTTCAACTTTATTTCCAGGGAAGGAAATACAATCACAAGAAAAAATTGTTGTCGTTTTTCGAGATCAAGACTAAAGCTGGATTGAACATTTAAGAATAAGCTCATACAAAAAATAGTTTTTTTAATTCAAAAATCCGCATGAAATGAGTACAAGTGAAAGGAAAATCAGAGGTTTCAAAGGAAGGAGCTGCCATATAATAAGTGATTTAACATAGAAAATGCATTTCGAAGAAGCTGACAAAAAGAGTGAAATTTTAAAACCCTATGGTTTCAGAAGAGCAGTGATAAAGCAGTTAACTATGGTTCAAAGAGTTCAACAAAAATTAAGCATTGAACAACTTGATGTAAGTGTGCGACTATGATGCCTTGATATTTGGCTACAAAGAGATTTCTAAAAGGTCTGTGTATCTATGATGCACTGATATTTGGATATAAAGAGGTATGCAATGCCCGCACACAGACAAATAGACGTGGGAGCATAATCACACGTTAAGAAATAATAGTGATTTCTAACATAGAGCCATTCAAATGGCTCTGGTAGATAATATGGAGTGTTGATGATAATTAGATTATATTTAATAATGAAGTTCATGAAATACAATAAGTAATTTTCATTTCATATGTCATAATTAAAATTGTGCCACAGAGTTTTACGATCATATAAAGCAGTAAATAATTATTCGCCTCTTAGATGATAAAAGTTCATTTCATATATAAGGATATACCACTATACTTTAATGTAGAAAGAACATTTTTTCACATGATTTTATTTTTTATTGTTTTTCTCACATAAAACATGAAATTGGAAAATCAAGAACATTCACTTAAATCTTACCATTAAAACTAATTTTAAGATAAAATTCATGAAATTTTAAAATGATCCGATCCTCCATCAAATATGCAAAATCAATATCCTAATAAACAGTCTAAGAGTGAGATAAAAGATTTATTAATTACATGATGTAAAACCACAAAAATCAAATGAAATATAATTTAAAACAATTTCAATGGTATGATTATAAACAAATTATGTTGATTTTTTTATGTGCAAGGGGGCATTATAAGTCATCTATTTCTTGAAGAAATCTAATCAAAGATTAAATCTTCATAAAAAAAGTGATCAAATTGAATAACCAAGTTGTTCTTAGGTTGTGATTGACTTTTTTGAGTGGTAATAAGGAAAACTAAATTTAAAAAGAATAAAAATTTTCACTGAAAAGAAAGCACTAATCCACTCCTTTCATATTTACATAAACAGCACAAAATTGAGCTTGTTATATGAGTCAAACAGCCATGATACACACCCTGACATGATTAGGATACATCCCAAAATAGCTAAGACGCACAATGATGGTGAACCATGTTGTTTCTTGATGAACCAATATTCTAGACCATGCTTTTTTAGAAGATGGCGAAAAAGCTAGCAAAGAGATCATTGGTGCTATCGGTGATGATGATAGCGACAGTTAGTGTGTTCTGTCAAATTTATATATCAACAAGTTCGTATTTTGTGCAGTTTTTTTAGAACAATATATTTTTTAGATATTTAGTATTTCAGTGTGGACAATAGAATGTTCCAAACTATGTTGTATTAGCATGCTATTTATAATTAAATGCACTTAATGAAATATCAAATTTTAAATATATTAAATTGTCATTTGTCTTCTTTTGCTTATTAAGCTTTCTAGTTTCTAGGTGATAAATATATATATATATATAGAGAGAGAGAGAGAGAGAGAGAAAACCCAATGGCTAATATATTAAAAAAAAAAAGGATACAGATAGATTATGTGAGAGAGTCCAAGCATGACATCCTACCCACATGATAACCACCACATGCAAATAAATAATATATATATATATATATATAAAGGAATGGCCGAAGGCTATTAGACGAGCCTCGACCATTCTTAGGTGTGTTAAATATTCGAGTATCACACCCTACACACAAGGGGAATCGAACCCGTGACCTGAGGGGACTTGCGACCTTTAGAGATGTTGTTCTACCAACGGGCCACAATATGCGCACACGCGCACACAAATATATATATATATATATATATATATGATATTATACTTCATCATGTAATGCTTTTTAATTTGAAAAATATTTTAATTACACATATTATATACTATATAAGCTATAAATTCTATGGAGGAAAATATTGGTCCATAGCATCTTTGTCCTACTTTTTTATTATTATACCATGTCATATACTTGTGTCACTAGTCTCTTGTCGATGTTCATGATTTATAAAGTGGCCTATTCACTATTAACAAATATATCACATTCATAAAGAATGATAACAGCCATTGAGTACTAACCTACAAATCAGCTTAACTGAAAATTTGACCTAGTGCACTCATGTCTTAAATAACCAGCAATATGTCTTATAATTTAAATAATTTCGAAAAGGAATTTAATTTTCCTATGGATGGATCAATGCTACAGAACCCAATAAACTTAAGCCTTTCGTTGCTTTTTTCATCGGTTTATTTCCTTTACCGATGTCCACATATGTACTAATCTCTACCTGATAGATTTACCAAAACAATGTTTGCTAGCTAGTACTTCTTAATTAAATAATAAGGGAATATTGGATCACCAACTTGGCACACTAATAATGACAAATTTAAAGATTGATCCATTAAATTCCTTAAACAGATAATTTTGTAGCAATTTTTAATAAGCTAAAAGATCGAGTTATAATCGGTAACTTGGGCTACGTTTCACTTAAGTCCACTATTTCTCTTGAAAGAAATTTTACCTAATAAGGAAATACTATGGAACAAAGAAATATATCAATCTTTAGTCGTTTTCATTCTTATGTGACTAGTCATAAAAAAGCCTATTATTTAATAGTCTGATATTGTCACATATGAGGTCTCAAAGTAGACTTTTGAAGTAAGGAATAAAAAGAAAGGGCATTTAAATACATACCAGCCAATCCCTATGTATTTACATTTCTACCAGAAACTTTAATTTTTATATTTCTACTCCTCAAATCTTTCATATAACATAAAAAATATCACTATTTTAACATTTAAAAAATAAAATAAACCTTTTCATGCATATTTGGGGTGACATGTAAATGTAAAAAAACAATGTTTAGGTTTTAGATATGAAATACATAGGAATTGAGTCGTATGTATGTAGATCTTCTTAAAAAGAAATGAACAAAAGATAACTTGAATGTACCATATTTGTCGACAAGATACTTTACTATATCATCTGATTCATACATTGAGACCCCAGTGTTTGGATCAACCTGTACTAAAAAGTAGGAACGTAAATTACAATTAAGATAATCAAAAAGCTACATGCTATTCACAAATACATATGCAAATAGATAAGAACAACTAATGCAAGCAAACCATTATTTTCTTCCTCTTGCTTTAGCCATAAAAAATGATTGTTGAACATCTTTAGGTTTTCAAAAAAGAAATATAAGAAAGTGACGGCACTAGGCCAATTTTAGCCAAAACCAGCAAATTGCGAAAATCCCCCACTTCAACTTTCATCTATAGGATCCTTTAAAATTGAACAAAAATTCCTCAATGCACTCCATCACTTGAAATTGATGGTGATATAGATGGGGATGTTATTAGCAGAATTCAAGTTGGTCGGTTGAAGTGGAAGAATGCATCGAGCCAACAATGTGATAGAAAAGTCCCGCTTAAACTGAAAGGAAAATTTTATAAGGAGGTGGTAAGACCTGCATTGCTCTGTGGCGCAGCATTTTGGCCTTTAAAAGATAAGATTAAAACAAAGTTAAGTGTTGACGAGATGAGAATGCTTAGGTGGATGAGTGGTTTGACACTTAGAGACAAAATGCAAAATGAATATATTTGTGATAGGGTTGATGTAGCTCTAATGGTGAACAAGATTAGGGAGAGTCATTTTAGATGGTTTGGTCACATTAAACGTCGATCATCTAATGATCTAGTTAGGAGAGTAGATGTTTTAGATTCGACTTATGTTAAGAAAGGCAGTGACACGGGAGCGACCACGAGATCATCGGGGCGGGGTCTCCCGCAGCGGGAATTCCCGCTAGTGAACCAGCCGGCTCCAGAGTAAGCCCAAGCCTGAGGCGAGATTTTGATAGGGCGGGACTATCACCTGTCCCTCTCCTCCATCATATGGAAGTGTTTTAATGGCTAATTTCTGGATATTTCTTGCCTCCCCACTCATTCCTTTTGTGTGGAAGTTTCCTTCTTTATTTCTTTCCTTTTCTTCTTCATGTAGGAGTCTATAAATTTTTGTATTTTGATTGTAGGAGGGGAGTTTTGCTATGTTTGCTTTTAGAAATCTTGTGTAGAGACTGTTTTCCCATTGTGGACTATATCCAAGGAGATGGTAGTGTTCTAGTTGCATCCTACTCCGAGATGGTGATGTATCTCCCCTTGTCGTCTTCCCTAACTCTTCTCCTCCACTCCCCATAGTCGTCGGCCTTGTTGTCCAGCCTCTTCGTCCACCATCTGCACCTCGTTGATCCTCCTACAGTAGTTTCCCCATGTTGTTCCACCATCCAGCCCCATCCCTCACCTGTATTGTGTTCCCTTATAGCCTCCTTGGTTGTCCAGCCATCCTGCCCCTCCTCTATCCTTCCCAGCACTCCCAATCGACTGATACTCATCCCACTCTGCTGTCCTTGTTGTCCAACACCTTCTAGCCACCAATCCGTCTGTCAAAAATCACCTACGACCCTTTATACTTGTTTTCCTCGCAATTTTGCACCTTCCCTCGCTGTCATCAGCACTCTCTTGCTGCCACCACTATTGCCAACCATCTTGAACCACCTAGTCGACCTCCACCGCCCCTGGAATATAGCTTAGAGGTGTTTATCTGTGCCGTTTATGTTTTGTGCTATTATTTTCTATTGTGTACCTTTTGTAAACCTCTCTTTACATTAATAAAAGTTTGTTTTGAGTATTTTCTTATTTTTTTCCTACTAGTTTTGGTATCATTTGGTATCAGAGTTAGTCCAATCCTAATTCTATCATAGGGTTTCCTAGTGTCCACCTTATACACCCACCAAAATTTTTCATTCCTACCCTCAACTGTCTCTTCTGATTTCCCCAAACCCAATCTCCACCAAAATTTTCCTTCATACTCCTAAAACCAATCCATGTCACCCAGAAGATATATACCCGAGCCTAACCGAAAAGAGATAACGGCGAAAGATTCACCGACTTCGGCGGTGGATTACCAACATGGAAGATGAAATCCAATGGGAGACTACCCTCGATCGTGATCCGAAATGTATAAAAATGAAGTGGGAAACACAGTGTCATCTCCTACCAACTTACTACCGCCAAAAATTACAGACTCAAGCTTCTGAAGTGAAGAGATCACACCACCAAGCAACCCCCTGGCTACTATCCGATGAAACAATCAGCAAGTCTGTCACAATCAGAAAATGTTGCAAGTGTCGCGGATTTAGACATGTTGAAGAAGAATGCACAACCAAGGAAGTGATCTACTTCACCGAGCAATAAAACATTGAAAAGTTGTGTAAAGACACAGCATGCACTAAAGACGGTGACGAAATAAACGAGGAAGACCGGCTTCCAATTATAGAGAAAAATGGTAATTCGGAAAAATATGTTGTCTTCAAAAAGGATCCACAATTGTCAGCCAACAAGGAAGAGACGCTACTAATTCTAGCTGACCCTGCTATAAAGATTTTGGCTAGGATAACATTAGTCGTTCGGGAAGGTAGTGATCTTAATGTAATGGGCATTCATGTCGAGTATGAAGTGAAGGTACCTCGAGCTATTTTCTCACAGGCGGTGAGAGGAACATCAGCCGAATTGACTTGCAAAGTCCAAAAAGGGCATCACTTTAAGGAGTCAAACACATATACAAAGCCAACACATATCAGAGCATTGCAGATTTTTCAGAAGACCATTTCCTCAGTTACCCTTGCAGAGGGAGGTCCAACATGAAGTGGGGGTCATTTTGTGTTATGTTGGAAATATCATGTGGAGTTATTCAAAGGTTATTTTCTATTTCGCATGACACCCCTCGTCAGAAGTCTAGACAGGAGAGACGAACCACAGCTTTGTAATATGCCCAAGGAGTTTGATGGGGATGAAAATTCTTCCATGGGATCCATGTCCTATCAGTAACAAATATGTCTCTCCTGAATGATTGCTAATGAGAGGGACACAGGCTGCCACAGATATCATTCCAGAATTGATGTCTCCTCATCTTCTTGTTTATCAGCTACAGTCCACAAGGTAAAAAAAGTGGAAGGAGAAGATTTCAAATGTAAGGGCTCGAAAGTTGCATTGCGGGAACCCACCTCTATATGCAGCTCCCACTTAGAATGTACCAAAGGAGGAAGGATGCCTATTTTACCAAAATGTGTTGTGAAATAATAACACTGATATGATCGACCCACCAGCGACTTGACATCACACCATGAGAACCAGGAGCTTTGAAGAATGAGGTTGAAGCTCCACCAATCCCGAGAGGCTGACGAGGGAGCAGATAAGAAAGTGCAGGAACCCCAGGAGCGCAGGAGTGAGGTCTCCTGCAGCAGGAAATCCCGCTAATGAATTGGTCGGCCCAATTGGGGCTGGTCCAGAGAAAGGCGGGATTTTAACGAGGCGGAATTTCCGCTCGCCCCTCTCCTCTTTTTTTTGCTTCATCATATGTTAGTGTTTTAATGACTAATTTATGGACATTTCTTCTTCGCTCCATCCTTTACTTTAGGAGTTTTTTTTTTTTAATTTCTTTCCTTTTTCTTCTTCATGTAAGAATCTATAAATTGTTGTATTCTGATTGTAGGAGGAGAATTTTGTTGTGTTTGCCTTCATAAATGTTGTGTGGAGTATTTTTCCCCTTTGTGAAATGTATCCAAGGAGGTGGTGGTGCTTCGGTTGTGATTTATCTTCCCTTGTCATCTTCCCTAACCCTTCTCCTCCACTCCTCATAGCCGTCGGCCTTGCTGTCCAGCCTCTCCGGTCACAATCAGCACCCCATCGATCCTCCTACAGTAGTTTCCCCTTGTGACAACATTCCAGTCCCATCCACGCACATGCACTACGTTACCTTATAGCCTCCTTGGTTGTCCGGCCATCCAGCCCCTCCTCTATCCTTCTCGACACTCCCAATTAATTGCTCCTCACCCCACTTCTAGTGCCCTTGTTGTCCAACACCTTCTAACCACCAATCCGCTTGTCGTCTGTCACCTACGACCCCACCATACTTGTTCTCCTAGCAATTGTTCACCTTCCTCTCACTGCCATCAGCAATGCCAACCATCCCGAACCACCTAGCTGACGTCCATCGGCCTTGGAATATACTTTACAGGTGTTTGTTTGTGTCGTTTATGTTTTGTATTGTTATTTTCTATTGTGTTTTGTTGTAAACCTCTCTCTACATTAATAAAAGCTTATTTTAAGTATTTTCTTGCTCTATTTTACTAGTTCCAGTATCATCCAGAGGTAGACCTAAAAAAGACTCGAACATATTGTATAAAAAAATGATCGTAGTCTATTAGAATTAAATGAAAATATGGCACTAGATAGGACACAATGGAAAAAAGGATTCATGTAGCTGACACCACTTAGTGGGATAAAAGCTTATTGTTGTTTTTGTATGCACTCCACCACTTCCAAACCTTATGATAGCATTGCTAGAGAGACACACACACATTCAATTACTTATTAGTGCATTAAAATCATAAATACTTCTACATTCTATCTCAAATTATGCAAGAAATAGCCCAAGCCAAGTAAAAGTTCACATTTTCCTCATCTATCACCAATTCTACCTCCCAATAAAAATAGATAAACCGAATTGCATATGATTTTGTAAAGGTAAATTTTATTAGATTATTGAGTTATAGACAACATTTGACATTACGCCATTTTTTAAAAACCCTTCATTCTAAATCCCAAAATCTTCTAAATTTAAAAATTAGACCCTGAGGTTAAATATCAATATTTGTTGACAATCCTTTTGCCTAATAATATTAAATTACGCCACATGACACAATATTTGTTGTAAATTTCAAAAGTTATATTTTTTTGGCCAAAACATCCTCCTTGATAGCTCTAAATTATGAATACCTGTCTAGTCTATCCCGTATGACGCTAAGAGCACAAGCAGTAGACTCATCAAATAGAAAAATTGGTTGTCACACTATGAACTTCATAAAAATTCATAGTAGCACTAAGGATAAAGATTTAGAAAACTTAGATGGGAAATTATAGTCTCATTTGAAAACTCAAGAGCTCAATGAAACCCTAGTCCTACTGGAAAATAGCGGGATATGATGGAATAATCATTCTCTTATGATCCAAGAAGTTGGATTGCCTAGAACTATAGAAGGCATTGCCAACTTGCTAAAAAATACAATATGAGGTGGATGTCGACATTTCTTACAAAAGGAATTCAATGCTCGACATAAAGCACTAAAAAGGACGATATAGCAGGCTAACACCTCTAAAACATCGAGCAATTAGTAAGTGCCAAAAATAAGTTGGTAGAGAGATGAGAAGTGCAAATGTTGGAATAGAGAACTCAATGGAGTAAGAAGGCATTAATCTCTTCTATTTAGTTGGAAGGGCGCCATGCCAATAGTTTTAGCATGTTGAACTATTAGCAAAGTATTATGATGAAAGCCTGACTAGATAGTGACTTTATAGAAGATATTTGAAAAGAGATTGATCAAAAGTGAGAATTTAAGACACCCAAGCAGAGCCAAGCAAATCTAGGATGTCGAGCAATCAGTAAGGCTATATTCATTGTTATGAAATAAAGAATTCACGGAGACCATTAGTTATAAGTTTGTCTTTCTTTCCC